ACGTCCTAAGGTTACTTGATATAAGTTTCTTTTTGTCATATTTCATGGTTAATCATATCAGTAATTAAAGTTATTTTTTATTTTAATTGTATTAAAGTGTGGTATAGGACATAACTCCTTTATATTTTCCTGTTTTAGTTAACCATCCATATAATTACAGCATATATAAAGTACAAAACTAGCAATATTATCGCCCTAAACACTATACGCAACAAGTTTGTAATTTTATTGGAGCGATAAGCTAAATCTTGGTGAAAATATGTTGATTTGACTAATTACATTATTGTTATAAACTTTTTATTTTGAATTTGATAATCATATCTCAACATTTTATCATGTAGAAGGGAATCAATATTTTTGAATATGCAGGGTTGCGCTATGGTTAACAATGCATGATTGACATGATGTACGAATTTGGATCAAAATTCAATGAGTCATACGAATCAAAGTGTTAATATGAACAGTGATGTGAGCGTTTGGGCAGCGCATTGTAAATTTTAACAACTGGGTAGCTGAGTTGTTAGTGCTCACCTAACAATCAGTAGGTCGCCGGTTCGATCCTGGGAAAAGTCATTAGCTTTTTGATGGTTCGAAACTGGACCCAGTTGTATCCGATCATTGGGCTTTTAATAAACGATCCTGCCTATCGGCACAGCTGATCTTAGTCAGTAACAAAGCTACACAGACCATCTTACTCGATGCACTCATCCTTTACTCATATTTGGGTTAAAATACGCACATAGTCCCTATCTCAATGATTGATGATAATAGCTTATTTTGAAAGTTTTAATTTTAACTGCCATTCATTAGTCAAAAAGAAAAAAAGAGAAAAAAAAACATTAATATATTATATTTGACATAAAATAATAAAATTGTACACCAATCAAATGAACTAGCTGTTTAAGTTGTGATTCATTGTAAAAATAATATTAAAATGATCCAGTTTCAGTAAGTTTTTCAAACCGTTGCATTAACTTAAATATAAAATGCATGTTCAATAACAGCAGGAATTTAAGTGGAAGTCCAGCCATGCCCTGATAAACGTGACAGTATTTCTCTAGATTTAGGCCAATATTTTCTTAATTAAGTCTTAGTTAAGTCAATAATTCTTAAGTTAATTCGTTCTAGTCTTCATATTTTTATTTTTTATTTTTTGCAGTATTAGTCATATCAATTCAAGACAGAATAGACACATGTTTTGCTTTAAACAGCTTTCGTTAGGTATCTAAATCCGTTCGTCTTTGAATATATGCTAAGTATTAGGTATTATGTAAACATGTTGAGTTGTTTTACAGGTTATATTGTATTTCCTTAGTCTTCTTATGAGAATTTGTTTCTTGCAACCATACAAAATATTTTACAACGAAAACACAGATAAAAGGGCTTGGTTTAAAATCAGAAGATCGAATATAAAATAAATAGCTTACTAAAAATTATTGAGGAAATTATAGCTCTTAAACCCTAATCTTAATATCAGTTCTGAACTGATAATATCAGGGTAAAGGTTGGTTGAGATACTCAGATTATCATAACAAAATTCTTCCACCTGTTATTAGTTGTGCACTTTAAGGTTGTGAAATAAATACATAAATCACTTACATTATGACCATTTCATTGAATCGATTAACTTCTTATAATCATAAGATTCATTGCGGGAGATTTTGCTTGGACATTTTCACATTTTAGCCTTTTTTTAATGGTAAAAGGTTGATAAGTTAAATTTAAAATAAATAAAATTGCTTAGCATAAGTTAGTGTATTTTGAACCATTGACTATACACGTTGAACACAGTTCAGTACGCATTCGAAATGTAATCATAATCAACCCTTGTATTAACTTTTTTAAACTCGTTGTCTTTTATGATGTTAATATAAATATTAATTTCCAGATGTTTAATTACTCGTATACAGTATCAAGATAGTTAATATTTACATTCTGCATGCTGCTTTCAATAAAAACAGTTCCACTATTTTTTCAATCTGTTATTATTTTGTTCTTACATATAATACAGTCTATTTAAATTTAACACACACAATATATGTATTTAATTTCGAGTTTATTCGTAATTAACATAGTTGTAGTAATAATGCTGATTTTCAAGCGTGTAGCTTGGATTTACTGTACTTTAGTTTGTTATGAGAGAATCACAAACAGACAGATAACTATTTACATATATATGTATCACTGGTTCAAATTTCACAAAATGGGGCCAGAACTTTTAGGACACTCTTAATCGCATTTTCTCTTTTGTAATTATATGCAAACACGATTTAAACAATTGGAGAAACAAAATTCAGCAATATTTAATTTTTAATCAAAATGCTCAATTGAGGTATGATTCGTTGGTAAATTGTCTGGTTCCACGATCATTTTTCGGTTGTTTTATACACGACTCGTCAAAACACACTCACACACTATTGTTCTAGATAAAAAGCAGACATCTCGAAAGCAGAAAAACGCGTCTCTTCCCCGAGACTTTTGAGACTCTTTTGACCCACTATCTCAAACAATTGACTTTCGGATACCACTTAACATCCAACTTCATATGCTAGATATAAATCAGCCAGAAAAAGTGAGCGAAGCCAACAAGAAATTATCCATCCCCAATAAGCCACGCGCAATTTATCGACATAGATCACAATGACCCACATAAAACATCCTACATCATAATTAGGCCACCAGGTTTGTGGGGTTTATGTTTATGACTCCTGAACTGACCTTGACCGAATACCACCGCCATGATAACAGATTACAAGGTCACTGATAAGCCGGTGTACGCCCCTAGCACGGATATGCGTTTATAGCTGCTGTTATCATATGTTTGCCGACCTTCAGGTAATTGTAATTTGGAATTTAGGAGTGTTACTTATCAGATAATTCTCTAATGGATCAGTAAATTCAGCTAGTCTTATCAAAGTAGTTTTGTGATTTATAACCAATTAAAAATTGTATGATGTGAAATACTTCCCTCTCGTTCAAATGTTGATACATTTTAATACTGACAAGTTTTTTTTTTTGTAAAGAATAATGGCAAAATCAAATGTATTTCGATAGTTTAAATTTATGGTAAAGACTCTTAAATAAAATCTGAAATAATGAATTGAAGAATAACAATTTCATATACAGCATCCTAAAAGGTCAGTGACATTTTGATGTGTTGAAACTGGATTAAGTTTTAACTGATTATTGTGATTTTAATAAAAGAATAAACAGCTAATCTTAGTCGGCTACAAATCTACAAAGATTACATCAATCCACCCTTCTATTGACCTTTGGATACTGTGGTAAGTAGACATACCATCTATGTAGACCAGCTGATGCAATTTTTTTCCCTAAAAGAACATACCGTTGTTGGGACTTAGGCAATCACATAATGCACTATAGTTAAACTTCATATTTTCTCCCTTAAGTTTTGTAACTGATATATACAAATGAATAAATGATTCATCAGGTTTTAATGTCATGTATCATACTTATTTCTTATCCCACGTTGATAATTTTAACATATGATTAAAGAACATGTTTTCAATGTTTATAATCAGTTGTTCAATACTCACTCTTGCCATCTTTTTGGGTTTGCTTACATCTAGTTCAACATTATTACATACATGAGAAAACCTGTTGTGTATTTTAATTATGACTCTAGTTTATCATTGTTGTCTGCAGCGTGTGTTACAGAGGTGTTTTTATTCTCTAGGGCTGAAATAAGAACAAAGTGTATACCGCCAATGCCCCAAAATCTGCAGAGCTACGTGAATGCATTTGCATCACTATAGATTCAACCATTCAACCAGCCTTTCAATATTAGCCGGTGTATTGTTCCATGGGTAATGGATGGCACATTGAGCACTTGTAGGGGTGGCTATAGACCAGTCGACCAGTGACATCAAACTACGGCCTATAAATACCGGTGGGGACAAAGCACTGCCAAAGATGGCAATCTTGACGCCCCAAGACAACTACTGATGACAAGTGACGACCATTGACGACCACTGACGACCAGTGGCAATCATTGACGACCAGTGGCAATCATTGACGACCAGTGTCAATCATTGACGACCAGTGGCAATCATTGACGACCAGTGGCAATCATTGACGACTACTGACGACCACTGACGACCACTGACGACCACTGACGACCAGTGGCAATCATTGACGACCACTGACGACCAGTGGCGATCATTGACGACCACTGACGACCAGTGGCAATCATTGACGACCAGTGGCAATCATTGACGACTACTGACGACCACTGACGACCACTGACGACCACTGACGACCACTGACGACCAGTGGCAATCATTGGCGACCAGTGGCAATCATTGACGACTACTGACGACCAGTGGCAATCATTGACGACCAGTGGCAATCATTGACGACCAGTGGCAATCATTGACGACTACTGACGACCACTGACGACCACTGACGACCACTGCCGACCAGTGGCAATCATTGACGACCACTGATGACCAGTGGCGATCATTGACGACCACTGACGACCAGTGGCAATCATTGACGACCACTGACGACCAGTGGCGATCATTGACGACCACTGACGACCATTGACGACCATTGACGACCATTGACGACCACTGACGACCACTGACGACCACTGACGACCACTGACGACCACTGACGACCACTGACGACCACTGACGACCACTGACGACCACTGACGACCACTGACGACCACTGATGACCACTGACGACCACTGACGACCACTGACGACCAGTGGCAATCATTGACGACCACTGACGACCAGTGGCGATCATTGACGACCACTGTTGACCAACTACAATATTGACTAGCCTTTACCAGGAAAGACCTAGCTATCACTTGCAACTACTAAATGATGACAAGTGACGACCAAAGGTGGGGGCACGTCGCATGTTGGTGCATCTGCAATGCTAATGGTGACGGAGTTGCAACACGGGGACGGGTGTACACTCCGACCCATATAGACAAGGCTGGTCCAAGGTTTGGTGTGGCGTCGTTTATATATCACCGCGCCGCGACGTCAACGTTTGTGTCTCCGGCGTCGCCATGCTTGTCACCTCCACAACCTCTGGTCATCTCGGCCTCCTCGGCGTCCTCTCGGTGCTGGGGCATCTCCTGGCAGTGCAGGTGTGTTAGTGGAGGGATAGTGGCGAGATGTGTTTAGTGTGGTTTTGTAGTTGATGTTACTAAATGAGGGGGTAAACAATTAATTAGTGATAGTGTTGTAGAATACTTATGTTTTATACAAGTGTTGGCATTATTTTTGCTTGATTTAAATCACAAAACTTTGTAGTTAGTACGTATAATATTGTTGATATTGTTCAAAGATTCATCTCACTGCTGAAAATATTTTCCTCTAATTTTGTCACACATATATTATATTAATATCCATTATATATCAATGTAACTACCGAAGTCATGTTTCCCAAAGTTTACAGGAGTATCCGGGGTTGGGTTTGTTTTGATAATTTTGGAACTTGTACAATATTTTAATAATTTCAGTTTGGAATATTGTTGATCTTAATTTAATTAAATATTGTGAGAATGTATGAGAAAAATTTTTTTATTTGTCAGTTTGATCATTAAAATTAATGTTTGTACTGAAATAGGTTCCTTTAATGTTTCAAATATTCTTTTGAACTCTTTTATACAAGCATGGCAGATTATCGGTGACAGTGAAACACATAGTGTAAACACATCACTTACACCAACATAATATGTTTAACAAAGTCTATCTGAAGAACATTCTTTATAATTGAAACTGATTCTTTACCTACAGTTCATTAACAATTTTGTATTTTTAAGAAAATTGTTTCAAATCATTATCTTTATCCATCTACTACATGTTTCAAACATAAGTAAGTTTATAGTAATAACTAAACGCATGCTTTATTCAAACATCTCTATGAAAACAAAACCAACCGCAGTAGGAAGCTTCAAAGCTTTTACTTTTCACTTACAAGGCTTGTAAATGTCAGTGATCAAAAACCTCACTAATCCGAGATGGCACTTGTCACTACAATCGTGTTCCGATCGGACGGGTTGTGTAATTGCTGTATGAAGTGGCAGGGAAGCTGCATACAATTGTAAAACCAGGATAATACATAATCTTTGTTGTGGTGTACAGTTTTAACTTAGCGTAGAGATAAGTGCATTTTAAATTTAAGACAATCTTTATTCATTATTACAATATACAATTTTAGTAAATTGGTGACCAAGGCACAATGTCGTGGGTTCACGTCCACGAATTTTATCAGAATAGTTTATTCGTGTACACCGGCTCACCCCTTGCTGCATAGCTAAGACTTATTTATGTACAAGGGGAAATTACACGTAAAAGACCATTTAACTTAAAAAAAGAAATATGGTGAAAAATCACCAAGCTGTTACTTTAATTATCCGTCCTGACTAATGAAACAGCTGGTCTTATTGACAAAGATACACAAGGCTCACTTTATTCCGCACACATATTTGGGTTGAAATACGCACGTTCCCATCTCAATCGGTAGTATATAATACGGATTTTAATGTAGTAGTATTGCCTATTAGAGTCTGAATCACCTTATGTATCATTTACATTTATCAGCCAAAGACTCCTGCAATCAGTAATGAATATTTGATACCATATTCGGGAAAATGTTCCCAAAACATAAGTAGGTATCTGATTAATTGGTTTTTTTTCGATCTAATAGTTAGCTGGCCAATAATAAGTGAGAAATCACCTTTGCAACAAGATGAACCCTTAACAAATTCCTATAGATGTATATTAAAACGAGAAATGAACATAACAATTTGCACTACTGGTTTTGCCTTTAGAGTGCGGAACCTATGTCTTTTTTCGCGATATATATAGCTTATTAGCTAAATCTCAGTCATAAAGCTACATCTGACGGTTTGGGACCCATCAAATGCTATACAGTAGGTCTTTCTATTTTTTATCTGAAAAACAAACAATGTTTCTAGTGTTTAAGAACTCTTTCCTCTTAAATGTATCCGATTATTTATTGGAGTTTTATAGTGGCTCCGACGACTACTAGCTAAAGGTCAAAACCTTTACCTCTGTTATCCTTGGTAAACATATGCCAGGTAATGATTGTTCATGATGCGAATGTTACAATAGGAAAGCAAATCAGAGGCAAAGTATACTTCCTCATGTATATTAGCCATCGAGACAGTTCTTCGATGGAGAAAAGTGTTCAGACTTTCCTACTACCTCACTTTAACAACTTGAAAATGAAGTCAAACCATTGACAATTGGATACTGATGTAGACATCCCATCTATATGGAACAGCTGTCGCCAATTTTTTATTTAAAAAACATAGTTATATCATCAATCTCTATAATAGAGATCGATGAGTTATCTGAGCCAGTCATAATGCACTAGAGTCTAAAATCATATTTCTAGTTTCTGCCTTATTGCTACCAAGTTGATGGGTCATAACAGTTGCTATACTGTAGCTCACCATAAATTGTTCCATTAATTTGACTTTGTTAAAATGTCCGTGTATTTGGGAGAAATTAGTAATTTTGATCAGTGCAATCCGTCGGTGGCTCACAACAACTACGACGATTTTGATTTAAAAAACTAAGTTGTACAAGTATAATTTGATTTTTTTTGTGTGTTTATATTAATGGAAGTTTTCAATTTCTAGGTCATACCCCCTCAACCTGTGACCGATATACAAGATAATGTTGTCAACAATTCTTGTGACTGTGGTGAGTAGTGCCAAATATAACTTCTTATACCAGCTTATCTATTGTGTAAAATCATTAGAAAACTACATTTTACTGGCATTTTAAAAACGCAAAAGATATTTTCTTTAAGATTATTGCAGGTTTATGAACAACGGAAAAAATATTTAAGTACCTAGGCCCGGACCGATTTACTTTTTCTTTTGATATCCACCAGAGGCCGAAAACACCACCCATTTAAGTTATTATACATAGTTTCATTTTTGTGTTGTCTCAATTCACTTACCATATAATAAGAGGCTAATTTACCTTAATTTCATCTTGTGACTCCTTTCCTCTAGGGTGTATTACGATCGCTTAAGCGACTATGTCTCCTTCTTCAGATCCTCGACAAGAATATCAATTAGTTTTCCCTCATATCGAGGTCGTCAAAACATTTAACAAGAAACCACGAACGAACATTGTTGAAACGGTACATTAAAGTTTCGACTACAACTGTAGGCCACTGAAAATTGACATTTCAATAAAAGCACACTTTATCACCATCCCTGTATCAGCAAACCTGCGTACTCATGTGCCTGAATGTTATTTGAGTAGGGAATAAATCAGCCAAGTTCAAGGGAACCTTTTAAAGAAAATCCTACGAAGTAAATGGATAGTCATTTTTCAGTCCAAAGATTTTCTGTGGCGGGGCATTTTGTATTTCTGATCGTAGAGATTATATTGTGTGGTATATTATTTGCTTGCATAACAGTTTATGTTTAATGTCCATTGGCTTGTGTTTAGTGTGTGGGCAGTACGGCCGCAAGATGAGGATAGTCGGGGGAGAGGAGGCCGAATCTCACGAGTTTCCCTGGATAGTTCTGTTGTCTTATAGAGACAAGTTCTACTGCGGAGGAACTCTGATTACGTCTAAACATGTCCTGACAGCAGCACACTGCACACAACAGTGAGTAACAGTGTACTTCTATTTTAGAAAAATAATTAAGCCACGTCAATTATGTTTAAACGTTAATAAGTGGACCTATAGTATTTTACGTCATAATGCAGCAAGAACGGATGTTTTCAATACATGCGTTGTATGTCTAAAGTATCTCTATTTCTCCCTATGAAGCTAAAATCCCTAGGAAGTAAAAATCTGATGGAGTTGGTGACGTCATTACATTATGCTAACTTCGATACAACGGTGATGCAATTAGGTTTATCGATGGTTTTAAATGATTTTGTAGTCCATTGTTGCATTGTTGTCGACTGGAAAGTGTTTACCTTAAATGTAAGAATATGAATGAAACTGAGAAACAGTTTATTGCACCGAAAGCCTAGAAACTAAAAAAGAAAACTATTGACATATCGTGAAGATAAACACGAATACAATAATAATACATGAAATGATGCAATAGGCCTAGATTAGCAAGCAGCCGTTTGTTCACAGAATCAAAATTGATAAAAACTTGGGAGTCCTTTTAAAAGGTTATGTAATTTAATTAGCGGAATTGTGCAATATGACTAAAAATGTAGGTAATCAAACGAGAAATCGTGTCTTTCAAACCCCCGCGAATTTTAAACTTGAGCTCATGCCAAAAAGAGCTATTTACGCCCATGATGAAATATACTATTATTTTTACACTAAACCTTGCCAATCAACTACTGATACCTCAACCTAGTCAGAGAAGACCAAAGAAATATTGTTCAATCGTATTTGATGAGATTATGAAATAAAACAGCTGTTCCAATATAGGCCGATTCGTGTTCTCGTATTTATTTGGCATCGTTCTTTATTTTTGTTTCTTTCTGATATTAGAACAGAAACGGTATGGATCATAAACATAAACAAATTACGTTATTGGGTCCGAATCGTATACTTATAAATAACATTGACATATGGATGAACGCTTTTCGACAGTTCTCTTTAAATAATTGTACAAAAATATGTTTAATTTCGGGCCAGTGACGTTATTTGTTTGTGTTTATTGTCCAATACGTTTCTGTTCTGGTATCCGTGTGCCTTTCTACATCATGAACGCAATATCATGAATCGTAAATCATTAGAGCCGTTATTAAAATTGCTTGCTTGTAAATGACATAAATGATTTGATACGGTAACCATTATTGTATGGAAAAGTACTATCAAATGGAATAGAATTATTTAGGACTACCAATAAATTGACAAGAAAAGATTTAAGGCATTGTTTTGATTTAAGTCCAACCAGTTTGGATTTGTAAGTTAAAGTTTTATGAATATTAGTATTCCTTGTACATTTTTTCATTGCAGTACAAATATATGTATTTTTTTCACTATAGTAAAACAGTATATTTTAAAAATACATCAAGCTCCCCATCTTCCTCAGTTATTTTTCTTACGCTAACAACTTTGATGAATCAAGCTAAAATCCCATTGAATTGTGTTTTTACTTTTACAGAATAATGTTGTTGTAATAAATATTTTAAAATAAACTATTGCGTCAAAACATTTCTTCAATAGGGTACATGAATCTATATGATAAACCTGAAGCTAAGCAAATGTTTCACACGTGCGGTACAGTGTTCAATATTGAACTCTAAGCGCATTAACCGCAAAGTTCTTGTTCATGCGGTTTGTTCCCCATACTCCCTGAAACAGAAAGATCGTTCAATGCGCAACAACGCACGCTGAACAATAGTTGCTCTGTCACCGGCAGTCAGTTGATCAGCTGATGTTTGTAATTACATTGTTACCGAACTAATCAGCTGTTCATTCGTCTCTCATTATTGAATCCATCAACACTTTGCCTTATAACTTGGATTTGTTTGCAACTTCGCGCCAGAGCTAACTTTCGATCTGGTTTAACAAATTGATTTTCTCTTGTGTAGGTTGATGATATACATTTCTGTTATACATAATCATTATTAATTATTATTTTGCAAAGCTGAAAATGGTTATTTTTACTTGGTGTTAAGAGGACTTCTAAAACTACTTAATAATAATTAGTTTTAGAAGTTATCTTTTATTTGTTATAACCTTCAAGATAACACAGTCAACCCTATTCTATATCAACTAAAATTGATGGACTTATGTTTATTATGTTTATTATTTATGTTTAATAGCTACTTTTTGTTGATCTTTAATCATAACCAAATATAAAACTCCCTACATTTATCCCTCACTCATTCTTATTTCCTACTTGAGTTACAGTTAATTTTTGCAGCGTATCCTTCTGATGAAAATTAAAATAACCAAATTTGTATTGACTTAGTATGGGGTTGATTCCATTTGCGAAATACCCACACAACTTTGAGAGAAATGGATTTATTTTCTATAGTACATAAAACATATCAATACATGCATTTTTATTCTTGAGAAATTTAAAATTATCACTTTTACAAGTATTATAAAGCAGTTATAATTTAATTGTTTTATTCTAGCATAATATTAAAAACATTTATGTGCCTGCTGTAGCACAGGAAAAATAAAGTTTGAGAATACATCAAATACACATTGGTAAGGAATACTGTTGTACAAAAAGGTTGGTGAGATAACTTAAATCCTGCTAAGAACTAAGCCAAATGATTGTTTTTACATCAATATTTAAGATGTATTTTCTATTTGAAGTTGGCGTTGCTTGAAAAGTTTGTTATCCAAGTATTAAGATTAATGCCGGAAAGTTATTACTTTACTTTTGGTAATCACAGATTTATTGTACAGCAAAGTTGAAATGCCGTGATATGTTTGGCTCCAGATGAAAAGTAAACAATTAAAACAAGAAATAACACTGCTTTAAACTGGAAATATTTAGATGTTTTTCACAGGAAGTTTATTACAGGATAAGGAAGGAGCACGTGAAGGTGACCGTAGGAGAACACAACAGATCCGACAACGACACAGCACAGATTCGTCGTGTTGTCAAGATGACTCCTCACAAGCAGTTCTCATTGGCCACCTTCAACCACGACATAGCTGTGCTGGAGTTGGACAAACCAGTGACTTTCAGTGACAATGCCATCAAACCGGCGTGTCTGCCACTTACAGGTGAATTAGTGAACTATGGGTCGTAGCTTGATAGGTCAACTTTGGATAGTAACAAGCCCACATCAGCAATCATGTTTGCAGTAATGTGCCTCTGTTTTTCTACGAATAATATGATAGAATTGTAAAATGAGTCCCCTTTATAGCACAATGTTTATCACATCAGAATAGTCGGACAATTTTAAGCATGTTAAAAACAAATTGAAATAAGTCAATAAGTATTTTGCTTTGAAAAATTATTTCCCCACAAAAATGTAGGCCTTATGCAAGGTTACCCTTTTATTAGCAATGCTGGATAATTCTTTAGAAGGACTTTCCCTATTTCAATGTTAATGTATGTATTGTAGGGCTCTTAATTTAATTTATGAATGATCATGATATGATAATATTAAACCAGTTACTTTCAATGACATAAATGTAGGACCATAAAATTATTTGTTCAACAACACATTTCCTTTGAGGTTCCTTTGATCACCGTTCAATCTAGTTTTGGACTAAATCTATTAAGGAACGCGGCAGCGTTCCGCCCCGCCAAGTCCCCCAGCGGTACACAGCTGCTGCAGTGTATATATACATGACGTGACAAAGTGGCTTTTTTACTCGTCTATAGCTCTGAAGAAACAAAAGCTATTAAAATAATTATTCATCTACTGGATAGGGGCACTCATTCTCAACAAAATAAAAAAAAAGAATTTAAAAAACGGTTGTTTGAGCCAGAAAAACTAGTTTGAAAATTCACAAATTTTCCGTGTTCTCCTTCTTCTCCTTGAATGTTGACGGACCTACAGCCCAAACCACTGGCTCAATTTTAATGTTGTAGATGTGCCTTTTGAGGGTCTCAAGTCGGTGCGTTGACCTATTAACCCTTGGCAAGCCCTCTAAGTACGATTTTGGCCCATTTAAATATCATGGGATTAAAATAAAAACAAAAGAAAGACCAGCTGCGATTAAATCCCATTTAATTTAAATGTTAGAGAAATTCATAGGAACAGCTGAAAATTATTTTAAAACTTTTATAAAGTATTTTTTTCAGGTATACCGAATGATTTGAACTACTTACTACGTAAAATTACTTAGAGCAGTGATATTCCCCGATACTTTCCATTGAAAATGCAGTGTGCCGATGGTACACTGGTACAGCAGCTCGTCATTTTTAACAGTTTAATAATACTTATTAAAACATATGTAACCTAGGAACTTGAAACTTAGTACTAGTACTAAGGTTTGTTTTATGTTTTGATACACTAAAACAAATAAAACAATCGGGAAAATCACTCTATGAATGTTAAACAAGCAATTAAAAAGTAATATGTAAATTTAGGATAGATGAGTTTTTCAATATTTGTTTTGTTTATGTTATTTCTAACAAGCTTAATCTGTTTGATTACATTTTTACTTCTCTAATAAGGGCTCAATTTACACTAGTCTTTAGATGTACGGGTTTAATTATCAGAACACTTATGTAACACCAACGCATTTCATGTTGTTCAAGATGACCATTGATGCAATTTGAAACTGAGTTTAAGCCCAGGGGGTTTGTTAAATAGTAATTTTGGTACGTGTGCCAAAAAGTTTTTAATCGGTTTAAAGCAGATAAGACCAAAAATGTAGAATTTAGTTCTACACAAACAATATTATTGAAATTAAATGAGATGTAGTTGTGCCGTGGTCTATATATCTGAGAAAGGAGGATTTTTATTTTAACTGTTAATTTTCAACAAAAATAAATAAAATCTAACAAAAAAACCACTAAGTGGTAACACTTTCCCCGCCAAGTCAGCAATCCAAAAAAGATAATAAATCATTACTTTTTCCGCCAAGAAAAACAATGTAATGTATGTAAGTTTGGCAACTTGGTGGCAGACTTTTGCTCGATCACTAAAAAAAATACCATAAAACTAGTTTCATTGAGCAAGTATCTCTCCCATTAGTACATTGCTAGGTGAGAGCTTATTTTACAAAATTTGACCTTATTTGTGCCACATTTCATAAACTCGTAATAGTGATGGTTTTATATTTACTGATTACCTCGAAATTATTATACTTACTTGGACTAATTAATTAGAGAAGTTGATTTGTGAAATTATCCACGAACGTAACTTCAATGAAAAAACCAAGCAAAAGTCTGCCGCCAAGTTGCCAAACTTACATACATTACATTGTTTTTCTTGGCGGAAAAAGTGATGATTTATTATCTTTTTTGGATTGCTGACTTGGCGGGGAAAGTGTTACCCCTTAGTGGTTTTTTGTTAGATATAATGAATACACCAACACAAAATTTGTCCTTTGAACTCCTCCACCAATTCTTAACCAATTTTGACTATTGACATCTCATTGGAAAGAGCGTGTCGTGTAGATTTGCAAACTGACCTTAAATTTTTGGGTTCTGCCCAGTGGCTTTTTAAGTTCCCATGTTACCATTATGAAGAAAATAATTGTTTAGATTATGATCAGCTGGATCAATATCATCATGGAAAATGTTAGTAACAATCCCAAAGACAATTTAATACTACCATTAATAAAACATACTCCCTAAGCCAATTTTATTGTTAGTTCTGTACGTCCAACTGCTGAGGTCGTGTTTTGTTTACAATTCGTTTCATGCTATTTCAGTGATTTAAAATCTCATTTAACCAAATAAAACTATATAATCATAAACAATAGCTGGTCTCTTAGTTGTATAACCAAATAGTAAAGCACAAATCATGAAAATAACCCTAAAATAATAGAATCAAAATTTCATCTACCCCAGAGAACAGTGTGGACGTAAATGAACTAGACACGAAAAACAAGCTTCAAAATTTATAATGGGATGAGGATTCTAATACTACCATTCACAATTGAATATACAAAGAATATTCTGTGTATGATACTACTGAATTCCTAAGCATTACAACACTGTTATACAGTACACAGTGTTATACTCAGTACTACAATTTACACGACTGGCCAATATAATTTCGTATTATCCACAATTAAGCCTAGTATGTCCAAAACAAAACACATTGCAGTACATGCGGTGACAGAGTACATGGGGTTAACTAAATGGAAATGGTGTGGAGGGAAGTAATACAAGCTTAAACAGGGTTATGTAAAAGTGGTTGCGGCCATATTGGACGGCAAACGGTTGGCTAGTACATCAGTTCACATGACTGGCTCACTTCAAAGGGTCGTGTAATATTTCTCCGTCTGCCATAATAACAGATTGTCAGCGGCATCGACAGGGCTAGGTCCTCACACACCCTCATTGTCAGCTGATTCCTTTATGAATTTAATCGGCTGAAAAATATCTCCTCGGTCAACCCTATCAAAGCGAATCGAATGTGGTAATTTGTGAATGAGCCAATATTGTTTTAAACCTCAACATGGTTTGGATTGCGGATCAATTTAGTTGTAAAAGTTTTTGGGTGTTGAATTTTACAAAATGGAAGATTTTGGAGTTATGAGTTGAGGTTTTATGCAGTACTAAGATGGTAGGTTAGTGTAGCATATCTTTTTAGAAGTACGGTATTTAAAAAGAAGGAAAAATGTGGAATTCGATGGGATGAGGAATATTTCTTATATTTAAATCTTCAAATCACTACTAATGGAACGTTTCCTTTATTCACAAATATTTCTTCAGAGCATTCTCATACAATTTTTCATTGTTTTTTTTTTGTTTACTCTGTATCATTCTTTTTCCGTTAATAATTATTTTACTTCCAAAGCTGAAACTGAACAAAACTTCTGACAACGTTGAAAATTTAAGTTGTAAAAATGCACCTGCACATTAAATGCAGTTTAAAAGTCTGAAATTCTATCATAGGGATTAATTTAACAAAGTAGTATTTGTTGTGATCGTCATTTGAATACTTTTACAAAACTGAAATGTTACAAATACTTTTTTGATTGTATCATTGACTATAGAATACTGAATTGCATTCATTTCTTAAAAAAAACAAAAAAAAACGGCTAATTTACTTTTAATGTATTCCTCTATAATGCATACTCTTTGAGGTTGTGAAAACCTATAGTCTTAATCACAATAAATTCCTAACGACGCTAAACTGTGTAGATAAAAGACTAAAATGCATATAACCTGATCGTAAATAAGGTAAAGGAAGCAGGGCGTCCAGTTAATCTAAATTGTAAATTGTTTTGCGTAAAAAATACCCTGTATAATACCACGAAGTTACAGTACCCTATAAGTTACAGTAGACTCCATGTTTATCTGAATAGTTATTTCACAAAGTCTCTTTTACATTCCGGTTAGAATTCATATTACCACAGAGAAGCATGGTACGGAGAAAACTTGCTTATGGGACGATCGTGCTTTCAACTCTAGTATGTTGGGACAGAAATATAATGATAAATTGTGACGAGCAAGGAAGAGTGGCGAGCACAGGGCACAGGGTCTTCCTCCACCATAAGCGTTGTAATATGATGGCGAGGGGAGCGATGTTCTACTTTGCCCTAGACACCACTCATTTAATATTTTCTCAATACCATATTTATCTGTTATATTTATGACACAGTAATATGACTCGCTCTTGTACCAGATGAGGAGGACTACATCGGCAGAGCAGCCACTGTCGCGGGATGGGGAAGACTGGCCGAGCGCAAGAAAACCTCCGACTCCCTGCAGAAGGTAGCTGTTCCTATCATCCCCCTGGAGGAGTGCAGAGGTAAAGGCTATCCCAGGACCAAGATTACGGATAACATGATCTGTGCCGGATATCCTGAGGGCAAGAAAGATGCTTGTCAGGTATGAAATTATTTTTTTAGAATTTACAATCAACAATAGAATAGTCTAAGAGATCGTGAAACGTCCAAGATGGTTAGCTTATAGATAATATCATATGAATTTACAGAGGTTTATTGAAATAAATCTATGATCATTGTAAACTACATATGGCACATTTTTGAAAAACTTCTTGGTCAGCATTGTATGCTATATGTTATTAAATTTACAAACACAACTTAAATACTTCAACAACTTTTTCCTAGTCACCTGACAAAGTGGGCTTCCTTGCACTGATTATAGTACATAAAGTTGCTAATTGCTGCATTTACTTACTTTTTGCCTCACACTTTTTTGACAAACGGTTTTTTCCGCACACCAGTATGCCAACCAAACAACACAAAAGAGCATGCTTTTATTATGCACGTAATCTGTGTAAGCTTAGAAAAAGGTTGGCAACACTTTTAAGGATATTACGACTGCGACAGCTGGTGCAGCGTTTCCCAGTTCGTTCAATGTTTGGTTTTAACTTAACGTAAACATATGTTGTACAGTGTTTGAAAGACTAATTATGTATATGATTTATAGTTACTGTAGGAAAAATATAATGTGTAACACGAGTGCAAACTGACTTTGCTGCACACGAGAAATTTTTCCTCGTAAACATTTCTCTCGTGTGCAGCCCACTGCAGCGCCCACTACTTACTCAATAGAAATTTGCCTATCAGTGATGTTTGTTAGAATTTAATTTAATGTGTTAAACTTTCGTTTGAATTATTATTTGGTTCCAAACATATTGATTGTATTACAAATTCACTAATTTGTTCATCATACCCCTTTCAAGGTGGTAAAAGCTCAATACGTAGTTTAAACAAAAATATTTCTGGTAAAAAGGTTTGAAACTTTTTTTACAAAATAACCTCACATGGCAATAATTGCAAGCGTACGCATTCAATTGAAAAGAATATTTTAATATTTAAATATTAAATATGATATTAAGTGTCCTGTTTACTAATTTAAATAATAGTTTCAACAAACTTATTAACACACATAATGTTTTGACTGAGCAAAACTATTAGACAATTCACTAAAATGAGAATAGGCCTACGACTACGTGTGAAAATGCTGTACAGTGAAGTTTATGAAGTTATTACATAAAAAATGTACTTGAGTTGTATGAGGAAGGATCCAATGATTGCCATACGATTAAATACTTCAAAATAAATTAAATAAAGATAAACTAAGTCTTAAGTTTCTACTTAGTTTAAGACTACAACTTTGATGATAAATAATTCTTTATCATTAATTGGCCAAGCAAAGTACTAGTTTGACAATTTAAACGACAGAATATAATGACTAAATAAGATTTAAATTTCTGAATGATTATTCATAGGAAATATGTACAATAGGTAATTTCCAAACCAACTTAATATTAATAAAGGGCTTTTTTCTGCAGGGCGACAGCGGAGGACCTCTCCATGCGTTGGACGCCAACAATGTTACAGAAGTAATTGGTAAGTTTTACTTTTTCTAGAAAACATAGAAAACTTTATCAATCACTCTAGTATTATTAAATAAAACAATACATAAATCCAGCACCACAAATTTTACGCTGGATCCATGTACACATGCACGTATTTCATTTTGTAAAAAAATAAACTCGAACGAGTATCATTGTTTTTCCCTGTTCTATTTTGTATGCGAAATAGAGCTGTCACAAATATCGGACAAAGGATAAAAGCTGTATCTGTAAACTGTTACAAAACCACAATCCGGTTTACACTGGTTTCTACGTCAGCAAACAAAACTATTTTTATTCTAACCCTTTGTGGCGGTCAATGTAAATTTAGACTTGTATAAAATGATTTTAATGTGTAGTTAGTTATCATCGCGAGGCGAAATTCGTAAGTTATCGATTTAAGGAAGGGGTTTGTAATGTGAAATGCTTTACTACGAAAATTGTTAAAAAGGCTCATAGACATTGTAGTAAGTGGCAGTTTTCATTTATACTTAAATTTAATCCCTTACATAAATTCCCAATTTTTATTTCATATCCATCGTGTAGAGCTTAAAAAACAAATTGTTTTGTATTTTAAATTGTTGTTTTATGTCTAACAATCACGGAGAATATTTCCAAAAATGGTATATTTTTTAAATTTATGTTATTCTTAAGAAAATGAACTGAAACTGTTCCCCGCTGTAGCAGCAAACCTAAGTAAACGTTAATCTTAAAATTTATTTAAATGGGAAAAACTTCTGACATGTTAAGGGAAATTTTTTGGTAAATATCGAATAAGGCACACATATAGAAATCGCATTGGTCTGTAGATTCGCTGCGACGGGGATATTAATATGAAACTTAACGTATTTTTTTAGGTTCCTTAGCCATATTAAAATTTTCAGGTTAACTTTAATGTCCATTACGATTTTATAAAAATTTTCCACTTTTACTTAGACTAGGTGATATCTCCCGCGAACTCCTAGCTTCTGAGCCAATTTATTTTACATTTAATCTAGTTCAATGAAATTACTTCATAGTAATCCTGGTCGAAGTGCTATATTTAGTATTAGGCTATATATAATGATATTATTGTCTACCTACATCAGAGGTAGACATTACGTAGTTATAGCAGGATGCATATATCGTTCACAAAACACTGGTCAACTGAAAGCGAGGTCGGCAGTGAGAGAGCGCAGAACTAGACAGGACTTGTTGCTTGACACACCAAGGGTTGTTCTTGATGCTGGTAGAAGGGGTTTTTCTTACTTCGGGCCGGCTCAGTACAATGCACTTCCTTGCAAGCGAAAAGCACTGTCTTACAACAGTTTTAAGAATCACCTAAAGAGTTTGTAACTAATCTTATTTTGTTTCGTAGTTATAAGAGGTTTTATTTAGTTTAAGTCCTGACTTGAGTCAATTTGTAAAACAGTTTTGTAACTGAAATTCGCTCATGAATAAAGACCTTATGTATTTATTTATTTTATTTATATTAAACTGTGAGGATCGCATTATACACAAAGGTACATTGTGTATTTTGTAACTTTTGCAAAAAGCTGATATTATGAGAGGTAAACGTCATTACGTATTAATGTCATATTATGTGGATTCGTATTTAGGAGTAGGCATCGTAACTTGTCATCCTAGGGGTTACCGACAAACACTCAAACTGACATATAGACGTGAGATATCAGATAACAATAAAATCAGAGCGTTGGACCGTTTTCCCTTTAAAACGCTTATGTTTATTTCAAACAAATTACCCTCCCGTAAACCCAATAAAAAAGTCTCGTTTAAGCTTCCTAAAGCTATAAAACGTAAAAAATTAGTAAAAATCTTTGAGACTTCAAGTAATGCACGGACAAAGCTTTGTTTAAGTTGAAATTAATAGAGCATCATCTGAATTCATTATATTTGCAGGTATTGTTTCCTGGGGTAGAGGATGTGCAAGACCAAACTACCCAGGAGTCTACACCAGGGTGGCTAAGTACATGGATTGGATAAATGAACGTTTAGACGGAGAGTGCCGCTGTACCCGGAGACCCGCAAACAGAACCCGGACCCCCAGGGAGGAACAAGTGTGGGACGTCTAGGATACCCAGGAACGTCCGGGAAATTTGCAGGAAATCAAACACTCTGTATGGGATTGGAAAAGTCTGTGAGCACCGAAAATACTCTGTGTGCAAATAGAATATCCTGTGGTAGTTTTAAAAGGTCTTGTGGAAATTTGGAAGATACTGGAGTATGTTAAAAATCCTTGCGGAATTTAAAATTAACATATGGGGAGTTTTTAACATCGGGTGCGACTTTTACGCAAACAGCGGAAAGATGACATAATCCTATGGAATGTTTAAATTGTCTTGTGCAAAACGCTTTCAAACACCCAGAAGTTCAAGAAAACCTAGTATTAAAATAGTATACTTGAAAAAGTACAAATTATTTGTATTTACAATATTAGAGTGTTCATAATATTTACATATTGTTTTTTTAAAGTGATAGCATAAATATATTTTAACTTTTCTTCGTTGAGTCCTTGAGTTATCTGACTCTTAAACGATAAATCTATGTATTGGGGAAATTGTCGTAAGCAAATATTGCTTACTAGCTTTAATTTGAACACCAATGTACAAATATGTGTTAGTCATATAAGTTCAAATACATAAAAAATAATATATCATTACTTTAGTCTTAAGGTATGCAAGACATTTGCTGCAGTACCAATGGTGTTCAATACTGTAGGGTTTTGTTCAATTTATACGATAAAGGGTCACTGCCGAGTTGTCTAGTCTAATTTATACAAAATAGTTTAATGAAATGATCTCAAATAGAAAGTAAGTGAATTATTTTGTATCTCGTTGTATTTAACTTTAAAATGGTTTTTAAATAATTTAACAGTGAATTTCAGTCAATTTAAAAGTATTTATTTTTTTGCCCACCTCTTTTTGAGCTGCACATAGCCCAACTTAATTTTAGCCTGAAAAATACTATTAAAACAAATAGTAGAAACATAAATGCATTTGTAAGGGTTTTCTTTTTGTATCAATAGTATAGATAATTTTTGTATTAGTTTACTTGACTCACATCATACTAAAACTACCGATTTGTTACCTTTGTCACATAGACTTCTTTGTGTTACTGAAGAAGTTATTAGACTTTTTCATAAAAGAAGGGTATGGCATTGAATTCCTCTAAGGATGAACACGTTTTTAATAATAAAAATCTAATTGTTTAAAATCTTTATGTAGCATAATTTACATATGTATGAAAGATATGTATATTCCTGAAAGTAGTGACATGTTAGTTAACTTTATTTACATCTAAAACCTTTATATAGATGTGATGAAAAAATACAAGTAGTTTTTCATGACTTTTTCACTTTATAGTACACTATTTATAGCTTTTAATGCTCTTATTTTATAGTTTTGCAGACCAATGTCACCAAAGCTGTTTATTTCAGTAGGTTTGTGAATATCAATCACCTTAAGTGTTATTAAGATGATAAAGATAGCTTAACAAAACCTGTGATATTTAGTCTAAAGTTGATTTTGTCAATTCATTTGACAATTTGCGCTTACATGGTAATACGATTGAAAATCCTATTAAGATTTGAAGCGGTACAGTAAGTATATTATTATCAGGTGTTATGCTTGTTAAAAAAGACAAACACTTTTTCTAGGTATACAAATTGTACACTGTTGTTTAGTGAAAACTTCATATTTTTCTTGTAAAGTGCATTAAAATAATAAAACTTGTTTAAAATTATTCTGATGTTGGTATTGCTTACACGACTATCTTAAGGATTTATAATGTGTTTAGTAAGACTACAGGCACCACTGGAATATTACCTGTGTTTATAATTTTTACACCTCTTTGAGTTTAAGGCGGTACTTGTGAGTTTTATTTGAAGGATTTTTACATTAAGTTATTCAAAACTTCACCTACCTAACTTCAACTTTATAATACGAATAGTAAGGAAGCCTTACAACTCTTTTTACCTTGTGTTACTAATATAAGGCCGAAATCTCTTTAATACTAGTACGAAAAAATACTAATATTCCTAATAAAAAGATATACTTACTTTAACACTTTTTTTAATCAACATTAATTAAAATACTAATACTCGACCAAATCGAAGTTCCATATTTACATGAATAACAAAAGCAATCAAACCTGTAAAACCAGCTTTTAATTAAACAGTTTGACATTTTAATGATTAATTTACATAATAATTGTTGTTATAATAGGGTAGAAACGCAATTATACGATGGCGAGTACATTGGGCTCGATGTAATCAGGATCATGTAAAACATTATGTGAGTACAACCGTACAGATGACACAGTGTTGGTTAATGCAGGTGTAACTAGTTTATCTCTACGGTGTAGTTAGAGCGTAGAGATTGATGTGGAGATTTACTGTGTGTGGTAACAGATGTTTTATTTGAAAGAATATACTAGGCTGTCACTATAATAAAGTTAATGTTGCTATATAGTTTGATGTGGATATTCACTGTGTAGAAGCAAAGTTTTATCTGCGATTATATTAGTGTTTACTACCTATCATATGATACTTCACTGTGTGTGAGTGTGTCTGTATGTTTGTGTACAGAGCTATATATTGCACCTGTGGTCCGATTTTGACAAAATTTGGTATTTGATTACGATAGTATCGTACAGATTTCTGGAGGTTTTTTCGAAGATTTTGATTTTTAATGGTGATTTACCCACAAAAACCCGTAACAGGAAAATGGGATTTTCACAAAAATGGTTGAAAATGTTTTGATAAAAATGTAGTACGTCACGTACTTCAGTACGTGATTTTACTTTTAACTCATCTTTACCAAAATATTACTAACTATAAATGTTGTAAATATTACGGTTCAAAAGTTATTGTAATTTTTGTGATTTTAACAAACAAACTAATATAATTAGGTTGGAAATAAAAACTATAAAACTATTGCTACATTATATTTACAGTATACGTCTGTACAGTCAGTTGCAATGTAAGGATTTTTAATTTACAATCCTTAAAACAGTTACTAATTTCTTTTCACATCCAAATCTTCAAACACAACATTTTAAATCCTGACCACTTATGAGGAAATATAATCGAACAACTTCCACGAGATCAAACAAAAGAAGAACGTGAAAGTCCGAGCCACGGTCCATTGCAGCCTCTGACTACACGCTTCGATTACATTTGTAGTGTCTGACTCTCTTACTTGATGGGGTAAAAGATTTCAAGTATTTCTTTTACAAAGAACACTCACAGCCAATAAAATACTTGTTCAAACTCCATATGGCAGTAATCTGATGCCCTTAATACTCGTCGGGATAACATTTGTTTCACTTGTTTCGATTTCTTTGCTCACACTTGCTTGAACATTTTATAAAAGGCAGACAATTGGCTTAAGTCTCTCTACATTTCACAATAAACCTCGTTTTATCGCATTTCGCTAACATCAAAGCTGCATAGGATTTTCTTTAAAAGTTTAGAGGTGTCATGTTTGAAACGGTATATAATATACAATTTGTAAATGATTTTATAGCGCAAGTCTGTCAATATGTGTTAGTGTATCTCTTAAAAATATATAGCTTTATAAATCTGTCAGTAGAAATTATTTATAAATTTTATATTTGGATTTTAATAAGCAATATTTTGGGAATGAACGTACGCATAATGATTAAAGCCAATCCTCAGCTGGGTCCGCATATCTGTAAAACCAATCAAGTCTTATAATAGTTTCCTTTGTATTAGAGAACTTCCTCATATGTGACAGAGAACTTCCTTTGTGCTAGAGAAGTACCTCTGCGACAGAGAACTTCTTCTGTGACTGAGAACTTCCTTTGTGACTGAGAACTTCCTCTGTGACTGAGAACTTCCTCTGTGCCAGAAAACTACCTCTGCGACGGAGAACTTCTTCTGTGACTGAGAACTTCCTCTGTGACTGAGAACTTTCTTTGTGACAGAGAACTTCCTCTGTGACTGAGAACTTCCTTTGTGACTGAGAACTTCCTCTGTGACTGAGAACTTCCTCTGTGCCAGAAAACTACCTCTGCGACAGAGAACTTCTTCTGTGACTGAGAACTTCCTCGGTGACTGAGAACTTCCTCTGTGACTGAGAACTTCCTCTGTGACAGAGAACTTCCTCTGTGTAAGAGAATTTCCTCTGTGACAGAGAATTTCCTCTGTGTAAGAGAACTTCCTCTGTGCCAGAAAACTTCCTTTGTGTCATCGAACTTGTTCTGTGTTAGGAAAACTCGCTACACACCAAACAACATACAACAAATATTTAGAGTGAAAAATTAACAGACGTTAATAATTAATAAAATAATTTAACTCGATATTTTATTTTCCAAAGCATAATTTTACTGGATCTTATAATCATACACAGGGATTTTTAGGGACATAAGCCTTTTATGTCATACTATTATCTTAGAACTTAAATATACTACTATTAAAGCTAAATTTTGGTAATCCCCATTAAGTATAATGCTATTTATGTGAAATATTGCAAACAAAAATTAATTCAGATTTCAAAAGTGTGCCTTAAACTTAAAATTATAATGGATATCTTGAGCTAGTGAAAGTCAGTGATTTCTATACTTAATCACTTCCAACGTTCATTTACCTAATGGTATAAGTACATAAACTGACCTTGCATGGGTGAAGAAAGGGGTTTCATTCATTGGTTTCGGACACCAGCTCAGTCTCTATGTGGTAACAATAAACGCTCGAGAGGTACATATTGAAACGGGCCAAATATAATTACGCTCGATAGTGTTACATCACTTCAAATAAACAACTTTGAATTAATCCACTTTGAAATACCATACTGTCGGTTTTGGGAAAAATGTTTTGTACAAAACCATCTGTCGGTAATATTAAAGGCTTTACAAACACCATTTTACATATATTAAACGTACTATTGTGAGTTTCGGTATTACAGAAATAAAATTTTAACTTTAGTGTAAATGAGCAAAAAAGTTGAACATTCTCTTTTTACCTTACTTAAACAATCTAAATGTGTATTATTTAAATGTCCGAGATTACTTACGAGTAAATAATCACTTTTTAAATGGCATGGTTAATAATTTACATCTTTAAGGTTTAACCTTTTAAGATCTTTCGTCTAGAAAAGAGAACCAAAGAATTTCGCAGTCACTGGTTTTGTTAAAAGAAAATCCTATATCTTCTCAGGAGGGGCCGATGCACCGTTCATTATTCCTGACGTATACGTGCCTTATGTGGCTTAGGTTTATGTTGACAAATTATCTTTATAGGCTTCTGTTATCTGCTACAAAATCAATTCGTGTAGTATTCTTACAAGAATTAGTCGGTCACACAATTTGTATCAGAAAAATTCACCAGTTGATGGTGTATCAAAAAGTTGTTTAAAATCTCTTCTGCTAACGGAGGTTTTCTATCGTATATTAATAAGTGAAAAACGATCTCAAGAAGAAATAATAACTACGTTTCCATGGATGGTATTCGGTGAGTAGTCACGTGATTGCTGTGTTCTTCGGTTCGATCCCAAGTTAAAGATTCTGTCTGTGCCTAGATAATAGATTTGATCACATTGTCCAACAATTAGATGAATAGTAATAAGGCCTAACACAAACAAGTGCATAACATTACTCTTTGTTTTCCTAATAAAATGTTGACATTCGGCAAGGCTAGGGTTTGGACCGTTCCCATAAAACTGTAAAAATCCCAATGACGTTGACGCAACCAACGAAGAGTTTTGTTATAATGGGAGTATTTCACAGCCCATGAAAGATTTATAGTCAACCATTTGACATTTACCTTTAGATGTTGGATATTTATTCCAATAATAAAGTAAAATCAGACCAGCATCTGAGTGACGTCATGCTACAACTTGAATCCACGTGACGTTATGAATCCACCGTTAAGACAGTTTTAGAGATACTTGACAGTGCTTGATGTCCATTCAACAACACGTTGAAATTATAATAGTAACAGGCCCAAGATTAAAACAACCTATAAAAGATTTAAGAAAAGCCACTTACGTGTAAAGATCCAACAATGAGCAATAGGTACTTAGAATGAAAAAGTACTTCAAAAGTTGGAAAAAGGCTTTACTAGTCAACAATTGGCATTCAACAAATAAAAAACCACTAACTTTTCGAACATGCAATTTATACCTTCCATTCCTTTCAAACATAAACAAAATTCAGCCTAACAACTAAAGGATGAAGTTAGAACTAACAATACCAAAATTTAAACCACAAGAAAAAAGAAATTGGGAAAAGCCACTTGGGTTGAAAAACTAAACAATAAACAAAACTTAAGGGGCAATACTTCAAGGTTAAGAAAGGCTTTACAGTCAACAATTGACATGTTCCTGCAGTTTATATAGACGATTTCTACCAAATTAAAACATAACCTGCACATACTTAAAGATACCCACTGTAGGGCCATGCAATTAATATTGAACGTTCCATCCAATGGTAAAACTAAATCAGCCAAACAGTTGTGACCTCTCTAAATCCACCGAAGCTGCTGAAGGCCCACACCCGGTAGTGATCGCTGTTAAGTAACTCGTCGGGAAACAAAGAGTCGCTGACAAGGTCTCTCATTGGCGCTATTATCCTCTAACAAAGCCATTTTCCACACATAGTCAATGGCCATTTCACCCAAACGGTTTCCAAATTGACACAATTCCACTCTCACTGAGCCAGACAGAGATGGTAGAGAGAGTGAGTGAGACGGAGAGGGGACCAGTCGGCGGGTGGCGGTGTTACCGGTCGCTCCTTCCTCGTGCTCACTTTCACTTATATCGATATGTTTTGGATTTTCCTGATAGCCGTGATTCCGCAAGTGACACCCGAAAACAACACGGATACGACGCCAAGAAATGGGGTAAGTAGGATATGACATTTTCCACGTGTTTGTAATGTGTTGCTGTATTAAATGTGTATTGATATTGATGTGTTTGAGGAATCGCGTAATTAATTGTTTGAGTTATCAATGCAAATGGGGGGAGGGGGGTTGAGCTATCCAGAAATTATGTGTTCAAAAACAACCTTTTGCAAAACGCTGTCAAACAACCTTAATAAGTTTGATCGTCGATGGAGTAAGACATTCCCTTTCCATTACAGTTTGCACCATATTAAAATAAAAATAAACAATATTGAATCAAGCCTTGGACAGACTATGCATATGTTACCGATTTTAATTGTAGCACCTAGCCAAACTGAACATTCAACTTATTGAAAACTGTAGCATACTTTATACCCAATAGACTATCATGATACCATTCGAATTTCAACAGTAGGTCTTGGGATGGAATGTCTATATTGGTATTTATGTCAATTCTAGTTAGTAGTCTTTGTTTATGTAAAACTAACACCTGCAACGGCGTGGTATTCTTTGTCTCAAAATTCAGATATATTTATTCACGTTGTTTAAATAATTTGAATTAAATTTCATGCAAATCTTGGTCAAATAAATCATAATTGGTAGCGATAGAACAATGACACAAAAGAGTTAGCTGATACTGTATCAGCTAAGATATGAACATACATAGCAGATATACATATATTGCATACTTATAGCATAAGTAAACGTTCTTGTAAGTACACAAGTAAATGTATTGTTGAAGGCAGATTTTATACTTGTTATCAGAACGTGACATAAGAACCGCTGTTATTAAATCTTGTTATCTATTATCAGGACATATAAATGCCCATGTGTCAGCAGTGCAAGTAATCCAGTATCAGGACATGCACATTAATTGTTGGCAATATATATAGTGATCCATTATCAGAAATTGTACATGAAATGTTGAAAAAAGATATTGTAATCTGTTATCAGAACATGTACATGAACTGTTACCATACAACAAATCTCTTGTTACCCGACAACTAATCTCTTGGAATCATCATCAGGAAATTTACACAAATTGATGACAATGGATCTAGTGATCCATTATAAGAAAATTTACACGAACTGTTGAAAACAGGTATTGTGATCTGTTATCAGAACATGTACGTGAACCGTTGAACAGTTGAACCTTGATCCACCATATGATCCATCTATTATCCATGTATTATCTATTACATGCGTGCATTGACAGCACATCTTACATTTTCAGAACATGCACACAAACTGTTAACAGCAGATCCTGTGAAGTATTTACAGGTTACAGATGTGAACACCTTTGCCATAATACTATACAACATGTTATCAGGACATTTGTAATACTATTTGAAGTGTTGTATACAAAACAAAACTATAAAACTTTGTAGTTTTGTTTTTTGTATCAGGCCTAGAACCTTCATTAGAACCTTTTAATTCGTTAGCCAAACGTTTATGCCTATTTTAAGGTCTCTGGTTCAATCGTTAGATAAGGGTATTTGTTATAGTTCAAAATCGAAACTGGCAAAACTCTTATTCATACAGTTTTAAATAAAACATATTGGCTAAAGAACCTGTTGTTAGTTAGTAAATAATCTGCAATACATATCACGCCTACTTAGCATCCTAATATATTGCATCCTTTAAATGTATCCATACTTATTTCCTGATCTATCAACTAAAAGAGGACATTCTAAATTTCCAAGAACATAACAAACTGTAAACATAATTACGTAAGCTCTTACATTGTAATCACTTTTTAAGATAATATTTTATTTAAGACGTGCAAATGTGTACTACGCACCAACAAAGACTAAAAGAAAGCTAATAGTACTTTTGAAATTTTAGGGATGTAAATTTTGAAACAATGTGGTTATTTAAAAAAAATACTAATGAGTACTAATAAAAAATGTCTAATAAAACTCCCAGTGACTAGCCTCATCATAAACAAGACCTTTTGAAACATCAGGTGATTACTCAGGGGTACTTTTTTCATTATGTCCCAATTACGAAATACAAACAGCTGTAACACCACCCAACAAGCACGCGACACCCACATAACTACACACTGCGGTACCCCCATGACAAACTGGTCCTTCTACAACTAATTTACTCGTTCTTGTGCTAAATAAGTGTCAGGCTTTGTTTTGTCCAGAGCGAAACTTCTTATGAAGCGTGTGAGCGGAAAGAAAGAAAGTAAAAGCAAGAAAGTGTAACACCGCGTGGCATGGAAAGTGTCCCATTAGTAACTATTGCTAAGTCTCGTTGCGGTTCAAGACATATTTGAATGTCAACAAAGATGAAGGTCTTGTAAACGCATAGCGAAATTTTGACGTTATTCAGACTCTTGAGCAGTTTGTTAGTGGCTATGCATTTTAAAAGTTGTTACTGAATTCATTTAGGAATATGGGTCAAAGTGGTATTGAAAGGGTCGGAATTAGCACGAGTGTTTAGTCTAGGATTATACACTTACTGGGAAATTCAGTTCATGGAAATTTTGTGGAAGTTGCACTTTTGAGTGAAAAGCATAGTTTTTACCAAAAACAACTCTAGCCCAAGAGTTATTTAACCCATGAATCGGTTTGGGTGGAATGAAACTATCTTTGAAACTATGAAACTAACAACGACTTAAAAAGCAAAAAGTACCTACTTAATTTGAAACAAAGTTAATGGATAATACTAATGAATATTCTATGAACAAGTAACAGACTAGTAACATCAACAATGTTATTACACAACACAACTCCTGGGTTAAAGTCCAGAATGCTACATAGAGACAACTACCATGAAACATGACCTCTGTTTGAAGATGTACAATGTGCGTTTGTAATTACAGTAGTATAATGTGCGATGCTAAGCAACGTTGTAATTTTTATTTTTATTTTGGTTTCGTTTGGGATGTTAAACGAAAATTTGTGTTAGAATATCGTTTTACTTTTGTTAATTGCTTTATTCGAAGGCCCATTCAAAAATTCGATTATATACATAAATATTTATACCATCGTTCAACAGTTCTATAACCTAAACTACATCCAGTGTAATACAGACGTATAATACACAGAAAATCCTGAGGTTGGATATCCTTTATGTTTATACAACATGGTTCTGGGTAGCTAAGTGGTTATACTCGCCTGCTACACAGAAGGCGACCGGTTCGATCCTGAGAGAAGTCAGTAGCTTTATTGATGGTTATAAACTTTGCTTCTTCCCTTGTTTAGGTTTTTAATGAATGATTCTGGCTAACCAAAATGCTAGTTAATACCAGCAATTTGACTAATAACTCAGTAACAAAGCTACACAAGGTATCTCAGTCCTTAACCTCTCCTATACAACCATTTGTGTTTAAATAACCCCCATTTGGGATAACGCAGCAGTTCGTATTTTTTACTTTTGTACATTCGAAGCAGTAAGTACATCCGAACTGTAATTTAAAATCCATTAAATATAAAATACCCCCGCAGCAGGAAACCTGCAGACTAAACGAATTTCCATTTACCCGGCTGGATTTCTTCTAAAATATTCGCTAAAAATTGTCAGATTACTGTGAGGCACATTTTAAACATAAAAAACCCTGTATTTTGGTATCCCTGTTTTCTTTGCTTCATTTTCGATCAGGGGGTGTATAAGGTTTGGTGTTGTTGGGAATTTATTGCAAAAAAGACACAGCACGGTGTTTCCCCATTCCGAATAGTTATAATAATACGTTTAAAGTTAACCATTGGTTTTATGCCAAGAAATGTTTGAAATTCGGTTTCCTTAAATGTATACATGTCAATAATAGTACAAATTTAGGGAAACTGAATCCGCAGTAACAAAAAAAAACCCAGTCGCAGCAAACCTGCAAATTAAGTAAATTTCTATTAGCCTGATTTGATTTTCACTTAGTTATAGAGATTTAATTTACCTTAAATTCAGATTTGGTTTCCTTAAATTTGTATCCATCAATAATTAATAGTTGGTTTGTTGGGTACTGGATTTTGTACTCGGATACGTACTACTACTCAATGGATTTTGTACTCGGTAGGTACCTAGAAACCTTAATTTCTAACCATTCTGTGCTTCAAACCAACGATTTACTTTAAACGTATTCTTATAAATCTTCGAGTTGTGTCGTATTCACAATAATTTCCTACCTCATAGATAAGGATGAACGTGCATTGTCACGTCAATGCAACAATGCATATCAGCTGATTGATAATGAAGTAAATAAAACCGGTACACCAAAATAGGATATTTGTCATTAAAATGTGTCTCACAGTACTTTTAGTTTGGGTTTCGCATTAAAAAAAAACACCCTATAGATTACACAATATAATATTGCTGTAATATCAACTTGATGAAGAGTCAAATTTGAATGGCGCGGCCCCAGAGCAGTGTCCAAGGGTGAAAGTGGCGCTGAAGGTCGAGTACTTTCTCCTTATCACGACCTTGACCTGATAAGCTACTCCTGTAGGTCACCAGAGCGTCATCCCATTGTACTCGCCTCCACAAGCCACTACCTACCTGAATATGTCTTGGGATGACGATGTAGTGCCATCTCGTCCAGTGCTATCTCGTCCAACACCCCAATTCCCCATAAAGTAGTGCTATCTCGTCCAGCGTACATTTACAGTTGATTAATATGTGGTTATATCTCGTCCAATTTTAACTTGACAGGGGGTAAGAAATAAGGAACACAAAGTAAGTAGTTCCTAGTAGCTACTACACTCTTCCACTGGACCAGCTCACTTTCCCTAAATCATAGCTTTGTTATATCTTCAAATAATTGTGAATTGACAGGTATTCTTTTAAAATCTATAGAATATTGTATTATTATTTAAATAAATATATAAAGTCATCTCAACTGTTAATTTAATTCATTGTAAACGCTATTTGTATCAACAAACAAACAGCTTTCTGTGAAGAGCTTTTTGCTTGTGTGTGAGTTTGTGGTTGTGTTTGGCTGGTGTATGCAAATTGAACACCATAAAAGAGAATGAGGGCTTACCTTAACATGTCTTCTTCTAACTGGGTGTGGATGTATACATAAAATTAACAGACATTGTTTGTGTTTAAATTTCTGATAAAAATAACACAATTTAATACTATTCAATATTAACAGAGTTATCCTGGTGCACCATTTATTATAATTATTGTGCATTTAAGCCAGGTAAAATTACCAAAAATTCCTTCTTTAATAGCCTAGTTGTATTTAAATAATTATATTATTAGATTTCGTACTTGATTAATTTTGTGGTATGGTAAATTATAAATTTAGAAATCAAGTTTTTTTTATCCAAATCGTGTGCCCCTAAAATAAAAAAAACCAAACATTATTTAAATAAAGTTTAAAAGTTTTTATAATTTAGTAAATAGTAAAATTTTGCTACTTCAATTAATTTGTAGGATTTTCAAGATTCTATCTTATTATAATAAAAAAAACTTACCCTGAAAATGGGGAACAAACAAAAAAGAAAATGTTCTCAAGATTTTATAACTGTTACACACACTCACAAGACTAGTTAACTCTTTGATGGTCAGACAAACAAGGAAGGTTCAAGGAAGAAGTGCCTTTAAATAGGTGGTCAGTAGACATCTCATCTCCTGATTGGATTACAACTTCAGTGCTCTAGAATACTCTGTCCAATCAGAAGACACCTACACCACATGTTTCTTGGGAATCCTGCACAAACAAAACTAAAATGAAACGGTTATTTTCTGGTTGAATTTAAATTTAGATTTTTTCTGAGTATTTTATATTTAAACTAGCTGGCCCGACAGACGTCGTCTTGTCCTAATGTGGTTTTATGTCAAATGCTCGTTCATTTTCAGCTCGTTCGCATGGCTCGATCACGTCCTGGTTGAAGTTCGTTCGCTACACTCACTCACCTTTAGGTTGGGGCTCGTTCGCTGCGCTCACTTGCCTTCAGGTTAGCTCGTTCACTACGCTAACTCGCCTCCAGGTTGAAGTTCGTTCGCTACGCTCACTCACCTTTTGGTTGCAAATTAGCTGTAATCATAAATTTAAAAAAATAAGAGTGCTGCACCCTGTTGATAAACCTATTAACTGTATTGAACATCACGGAATCAAATTGTTTAGTTGAACCAGCTGTTAAGATTCTTTAATTACATTTAAATGTGAGTGCTCATAAGGTTAACATGGGAAACTCCAGAGCCACTGGGGTGGAGCCCCTTTGACGGATCTGCACAAAACTTAACATAAACCATCCTTGAATAATGCTTAATAATGCCTGAAAGTTTCATTAAAATCTGTCGAGCGGTTTTGGAGTCCATAAAGGACAAACAAACATTGGATTTTATATATATAGACTAGCTGGCCCGACAGACGTTGTCCTGTCCTAATGTGGTTTTATGTCAAATGCTCGTTCATTTTTAAGATGAGCTCGTTCGCATGGCTCAATCACGTCCTGGTTGAAGTTCGTTTGCTACGCTCACTCACCTTTAGGTTGGAGCTCGTTCGCTGCGCTCATTTGCCTGCAGGTTAGCTCGTTCGCTACGCTAACTCGCCTCCATATTGAAGTTCGTTCGCTACGCTCACTCACCTTTTGGTTTCAAATTAGTTGTTGTCATAAATTTAAAAGATAATACAGTAGTGCTGCACCCTGTTGGTAAATCTTAACTTTTTATGCTATTGAACATCACAGAATCAAATTGATTAGTTGAACCAGCTGTTAAGATTCTTTAATTCCATTTAAATATGAGTACTCACAATATTAACATGGGAAACTCCAGAGCCACTGGGGTGGAGCCCTTTTGACGGATCTGCACCAAACTTCACACAAACCATCCTCGAATAATACTTAATAATGCCTGAAAATTTCATTACCATCTGTCGAGCGGTTTCGGAGTCCATAAAGGACAAACAAACAAACAAACAAACAAACAAACATACATACGTACAAACAAACATACATTGGATTTTATATATATATATATTACTGACTTACAGATTTTTTTATTACTACTTCTATCTTAAAATGGTACACTGGTTAAACAATATACAGTTTTAGTTTTGAAATACCTAAGCTGTTCTATCTCGTAAGCAGCGAGACTATCTATCATAGGACTACACACACATTCATTAACATCGCAACTGTTGCAGAGATGTGCGTAATGGTTTCGTCAGCATTTCAGACCTTGTACACTTTCTAGGCATAATGGTCCTAGTTACATCCGTCAATGGGCTGATGTAATAGGCCTATGTTCCCCATGGCTAGCTGTGTTAACATGACCTTGTAATCAACTGTGGATAACCCCAAAACAGGATCCAACTCATTTTAGAGCGTTTCTGTAAAGGTGATCAATGCAAAAAATTTTCATTTTGATGATTTAGTCAAATTAAAATTGGTGCAGGATGACGGAAACTATAGTTAATGTCACTTGCAAAATTTTGTTTAGGGCCCTGCTTATTTGCCGCCTAATGTTCGTGTCAAAAAGAGTCTCTTTAGGCACCTACGATGGAATGTACTTTTACTATCTCCCCTTATACATAAGCATATGGAGTTTTTTTTTCTGAAAGTATTCGAGTTTGGTTTTGGTTGGACGTTTTTAAGCAAACAAAAAAAAAAAATTGTTTTGTAAACTGATACTAATTTATGGTATTTCAAGATATTTGTTAATTTTTTTTCCAAATTTTGATTGTTTTATGGTAATTTTTCCATAAAAACCGAAGAATTGAAAATTAAATTTTCATAAAAAAGCTCGAACAATTAATTTTGATTGAAATTTATAAAGTTGATTTTTTTAATTCTAAACAAAATGCTATAACTCCCAATTCTGTAATAACTTCAGGTCTAAATTTATTTCAACTTTGTTATTTTCCCCATAAAATACCATGGTAACTTCCACCGCTTGCATATTACAAGAGTTCTTGACAAGCTTATGAAAGAAAGTATTTGTCAGATTGCTGTTACTGTTTAATTTAAATATTACATTGAACGAAACTTACTAATCTATGCCTTGATAGATGTTTTCCACAAGATAGTATTTACGACATGTCATTTGGTTTCGACCAGCATAGTTTGTACGATGGAACCTGTCTCCGGGCCTTGTCTTCCCGAGGTCCTTATGGTAGTCCCCAGGTAGACCTCGGTCAGGAGACAGGTCCCATCATACAGACTATAGTGTTAGTAAAAGTATTTCCTATTCTAGGTGCGAGACAACCGCCTTCTGTTCGACGACTTGTTCTGGTTTGCCAACGGAGGATCTTCCTCCAGCGACGACGACGACAAGCCCGGCCTAGCCTCTTGTCATTGCCGTGAGTACGATCTACATGTGTATATTCTCTTTAGTTTAAATACAAACTACAGAGTTACCAGTTATTCAGTATTCATTAAAAACAGAATGACGAAGAGAGAGTTTATTTTGCACAAACCCCCACATGGCCAACAAGTGGCAACAATACAGCGAATGTAAACATTACTATTTTTAATAAGTGAATACCACACTTCATTCTTTTAGCATCGTTCGTTTTTTTCTCCCCTTTTATTCAACTTGGTTTACGTCTTCTCCTCTTGTTAATATTTGTTTAACTCATTAAATTATGTTAATTAAGCTGTTGTGCATCGAAAAAATTATAGAACTCTGAAAACTGTCATATTGAAAATATTTTCTCGAAGCGGCTACGTGAAACGTATTGGGCAAGAATAACAAGAACTTCCTTAAAGTCTTGTTTGGAACTTAACTGTGCATATAAAATTGAAGTAATAACTCTGGAAACTAAATCAACTAAAAGTCCTTGTAATTTCAAACCCAAATTTAAAATGTACACGGCACTATTTTTCTTTTTTTTATTCATTATTTTGCCTCCTGAACTGTTATTCAAAGTATTATCTAGGTTACGTACCTTATACAGTCAAAACAGTTACGAATTCAGTCACTAAAGGACGATGCGCATTTCAGAGTTTTTGAGCTCTATTTTAGGTCCGTGGATACATTTATCAATTGATCTTGCAGATTCGTCAGAATTTGTAAACATTAAAAACACATAACATTAACATATAATTCATTCCATTTATCCATGTACATGTGCCGGCCGGCTATAGATCCCGACTGAGGAAGGAGTTGACTTGCTACCCTACCCCCTCCTGTTGACCTTGAAATGTTGTTATCTTGGGTCTCTTAGACTGGATATCATTGATAAGGTTAAATAAAACATTGCAGCCATATTTTAGTTTTTCATTTAATACTTCATTTGGGTTTGATTTAAAAACGTTGTAAATATGTAGTTCCTCTATTGTTGACATATGTTGTGATTTTTTGCATTTGTAGAGAACTTCTAAGTTTTCATCAAAACTTTTTATGTCATGATTACTATTTATCAAATGTTCTGCAAATTTAGATTTTTGGTTCTTTAATGTAGGTTTGGGAAGGTGTTCAGAATACCTTTTTTTTTTGAACGAGTGACCAGTTTGTCTTATGTAAAACTTATTACATTGAGAACATTTTAATTTATAAATTCCAGTATTTTCATTTCTTTTTGTACTATGGATATTTAGGTGTTTACTTAATTTGTTTGTGGTTCTGCATGAGAGTGTGATGTTTTGTTTTTTCATAGATTTAGATAGTGTATTGTGCAATGATTTTCCATATTCTATAGAGATAAACCTTTTCTGTTCAGGGGGGTTAGTTTCAATGAGTTTTTCATTCCTGTTCTTTTTCTTGAAAATTATTTTGTTCACCATTTTACTTTCATATCCATTGGCCATTGCTATGTATTTTATTATATTTGTTTCATTTTCAAAGTAGTCTGGATCCATGGGTATCGATAACAAACGATGAACCATACTATTATAGGCCGCTAGTTTATGGGAGATGGGATGGTAAGATGTAGAGTGGATCATGTGATCAGTAGCGGTTGGTTTCCTGTATATGGCAAATTTTATATTCTGGCTTTCTTTTGTCAATGTTAAATCGAGAAAATTTATTTTGCTATCTTTTTTTGTTTTCAAAGTGAATTTGAGGTTAGGTGAAATTTCATTTAAATAATTGTTCAAGATTTCTAATTTTCAAAAGCTCTGAAATGCGCATCGTCATATAGTGACTGAATTCGTAACTGTTTTGACTGTATAAGGTACGTAACCTAGATAATACTATTTTTTCGTTAAACCTTCGTAGGCAAACGCGACACAAGTAATAGAACAGGGTTCGATATTTGTATTAGATTTCACATTTTATTACACTGAAATAGCTCGAAAGTTGGTAAAATAACATGGTTTTGATTATACTGTAATACAAGTAATTAAGTTGTGTTTTTTTCTACCTTGATATCCTAGGATGCTATGCTCTAGCCCGGAACCGTTTACCCGTTTACGTATTAGATATAGGCCTAGCTTAAAATAGTCGTGGCATTATCTCAATGTCAAAAGCACAAACAAGGGGACACTTTTATTCTTTTATACCTTTATTATTTAGCCATTGGTGATTTACGGAATCTGTGCCCGAAAACTGAAGCTCCTCACTCTACTACTAAACAAGCTCCATCCCATGGTTTACATCTTAAGGTAGCCATAAAAATATTCTTTATACAGAATAAAAAAAACATAGTTTCACCCAGCTATTCCAAGAATTATAATTTTTACGATAGAGAGATAATGCTGCAAGCTAAAAACTATTTAAATCATTCATGTCTTTTTAAATAATTAATAATTGTTATTTGACCGTAAAAACACCATTAGATTTCAATCCAATTTACAACTTTGTATCACATTTAACTGCCTTCTGCGTGTAGTATGCGTTAAAGTGATATAGCGATGCATCGTATATCAGTGTATTTCGACAACGCAACATTAATTGCACCTCAATTGAGTTTTCATTGAGACACATATCAACACGACGACATCGTTGTGATGTGTAATTGCTTCTGCTCAACTCAGATGTTGCAGTCCATGTAATGATCTAAACAAGTTTTAATAGATCAGCGTCTCATTATATCTGTGACAAACTACAACAGCAAGCCATACTTGTATCACTCCGCGTTGTGTGGCATGGTTGCCACTACTGCGAAGTGTACGTTCTATACACGTATTATTGATGTATTCATACTGTGTCGGAATTTCCCACAAGGAAATAAGCGGTTACCGTAGGTCTCATAGTAAGACCTAAACCCGGGACCGATTTACTTTTTCGTTTAGAGGTCCCCTGAGGCCAAAAACACCCTCCGTTTAAATTCATATTTAATATGTGTCCGTTAGCACGATAACTCGAGCAAAAATGATCAGATATTGATTAAATTTTGTAGAAACGTGTAAACCTACGTTTATTCGAACAAGTTCGCAAATCAGAATAATCGGACTATGGAAACAGGTGTTTATAGGGGGTTTAATGGGGTAAAAATTGTTTTCCCATTTTTGACTCAAAAAACATAAAATTTCACAATTTATATCCAGACTATTTTGTAGAGCTTAAAATAAGAAATAATGTATTACATTGAAGCGTTGTTGTATGCCTAACGGTTACGGAGATAATTAAAAAAAAATGTAAATTATAAATTCTCATGTTATTCTTATGGATAATAAATAAACTGTTGTAGTTTGCTTGTTTATGGATATATTTTAATAACATTTTGCCATATTTTTTATTTCATACTACGCAATCAACATTTCAATAAAATACACATCTCACACTCTCTGTAGCAGCAACCCAAAGTAGACTACTCATTAAAATTAATGTTGTTTAAATAGGAAATAAATCTGACACTTTTAAGGGAATATTTTAGTAGAAATTCAGCCAGTTAAATGGAAATTCCCTTAATACTTTAATGTTTTTTCATTGAATTTGCGACCATACAAAAAAGGTATTTTAAGCCAAGTATCAATGGAGACGAGTGTAGATTGAGTGGCGCGATCTTAGTCTGCAGGTCTGCTGTGGTGGGCGTATAGTTCCAGGTATAGTTTGACACACGTATTGATGTATGTTTACACATATATACTACTATCATGTAGTTTAATTAATTTAATTTACAATCTGTTCTATACATGTAGTGAACAATGAGCAAATTATATGAACAACTACTAGCCATCACACCCCTATGTGTGTGTGTAGTCTCCTTAATATAGCTGCTAAGAATAACAATTACTTTTAAAGGAACCACTTTGCAAAAACTAAAGATCAGAGCAAGTAAGTTTAATCTGTTTCATACTAAATGATTTAGATGGGGTTCTAATTTTTTTAACGCATCTTTAACTTAAAATCATTATATTGTCCTCGACTCACTTGTAACACAATCAAATAACTACAAAGAACATTTATAATCCCACAGTGCCCTAGATATTTAAATTACGATCACTTTGGTATTTGAGAAAATGTTTTGAGAGCCTCCAAGGACTCATGCAGTGTTCTGAACCAAGGCGCGTTGGTTATCTTCAGTCAAAATTTAGCTGTTGTAGTTTTCATTTTCCAATTTTGTGTTTTTCTTGTTAGTTTTGAATCGCAGATCATACCTCCGTTACTTCAGGAAGTTGGGTATTGTTTAATTTGACAGGAGGACAAAAATCGCAAACATAAGTTTTTGCTTATGTCTACGCCAGTGGAGTTTTTATAATTAAGTTATTTCAAACGATTCTATGGTAAAGCGTTCCAAAGTCATTAAAGTTTTCTGGATGTGCGGGCTATTGAACCCGTTCCGTACCAAAGTCCGAGATGCTAACTACTAGGCTAGCAACAAACACCAATGTCAGAAATGTTACTGACCTTTTTACCTAAACTGCAGCGACGGTTGTTTTCCATGAATGTGCCGCTGCGCTAAAGTAGTTCTTTTCTTCCTGGTCAGAGGAATCAGAAGGAGTTGAGGACATCAGTTGTGCTGTGTTCCTAAGTTGGACCGCTAAATGTCATGAACAAAACAGTTCCAATTAAAATAGGTATAGCTTCTATCTTTTAGAAATCATTCGAAATCAATTTGTGTTTATCATGTTACTTTAAAAATTTAAGAGCAATAAATATCCTGTAAGTGATATTTAGACGAAATAAACTACTAACATATTACACTAATTTAAACTTGATTTTTTTTGCATTGCCAAAGTAATAACCTTACAGCTAACATTCTTCGAACTACCAGTCTCTGGAGCTGACTTATAATTATCAAAATGTATCTAAGTTTTTGGTTTGTGATTTAGATAGATTAAAGAACGGTGCAGTATGACCATAAAACAGTAAACGTTAAATAGTGGCAGACATGCCATAAAACTATCTTCAGCTACATGAGTTTAGCCTATCTTGGCCAGGAAGTATGTTTTAGCTTAATCTAATGCACATTGA